ATGGAGTGATACATGGCCCACCTTCCATATGATGGAGTGATATATGGCCCACCTTCTGTACGATGGAGTGAAACATGGCCCACCTTTTGGGTGAAGGACTCAACTACGCCTGGAACTTTACGTGACAAACGCAAACATTGGGACCTAATCCTATGCACCCTCATATTAATCCAAAATTTAAAAACAAAACTAAAGAGGAAAAGAAAAGTAGTGAGAGGGCTGTTACAAAAATTCTGGAAGAATCTTTATTGTTCATTAAGGATTTACGTACAAGATGTTTTCCTTCAGTTAAAATACTAACAACAAGAATCAGCACTAGAGAAAAGGGTGAGTTGCATAAGGCTGAGTAAGAGTAGTTACTAGAAACAGTGAAGGTTGCTACTTACAAGAGTCTTATGGTAATTCAGTAAAGTAACAGAAAACTAAGTCTGGTATTTATAAGAACTTGTGTACAAATTCTTCTTGCTTTAAAGAAATAGATTCTTTAAATGCATAATTGTCAGCATTTATAACTCACATTTTGTAAAAATTTTAACTTTTTATTTTAAAATTATTGTAGATTTATAGAAAAGTTGCCAACAAAGAATTTCCTTATACCCTTCACTCAGTTTTCCAGGTGTCAATATCTTAAATTATTTTGGTACGTATGTTACAATTAATGAACCCACATCAATGGATTATTAACTAGTATCTATTCTTTCCTCAGATGAGTAATATCCACCATTACCTTAGTTTTGCACCTATTATCCCTTTCCTGTCTGAGGATCCCATCAAGGACACCACATTACACTCAGTTGTCTTGTCCCCTTCGGCTCTTCTCATCAGTAACATTTTCCCAGACTGTCCTTGTTTTTGATGATCTGGACAGTTTTGAGTACTAGCCAGGGATTTTGCAGAAATACCCCTCATTTGGAATTTGTCTGAAGTTTTCCCCTAATTGGACTGAGGTTGTGGGTTTGCAGAGGAGATTACAGAAGAGCCATTCATATCCAAGGCACAAGCTACCCCCATAGGACTATGAGTACATTTTTGATACTGACCTGATCACGTGGCTGAGGTAGTGTTTGCCAGACTTCTCCATTGTAAAGTGACATGCCTCCCTTTCCAAATACTATCTTTTAGAACTGAGTCAGGATAGCCCTTACTTAAGTGGGGAGGTAGTGAGATTATGATACATTTTTATAGTGATAAATTACTCTTTCAAGTAAAGATTCCTTTATTAAAATAACAAGCATTCATTAACGTATCTGAGGAGCTATGCTGCATCTATAAAGCATTCTGTATCAAGTGCGTTAGTTTTTCTTCCAAGCAGAGCAAACACAGTCATTAATTCATCTGCCTAGATTATAGCTGGCAAATACCTGGCATCTCCCAATGTGCCACGGCAGATAACGATAAGACATTCAGTAACACTCAAAAAATGCAGATGTAGTTCTGTACATAAAGACAGGAAAAGCTTGTCATCAAAAGCAAGTTCCGTATTAACAAGAGTAGGAAGGGGCTTGGCACCTGCAGCACAGTGGTTACGGCGCCAGCCACGTGCACGGAGGCTGGCAGGTTCAAGTCCAGCCCAGGCAACTAAACAGCTATGACAACTATAACAAGAAAATAGGCGGGCATTGTGGTGGGCGCCTGTAGTCCCAGGGAGGATTTCCTACAGGAGTCCCTGGGAGGCTGAGGCAAGAGACTCGCTTAAGCCCAAGAGTTGGAGGTTGCTGTGAGCTGTGATGCGACAGCACTCTACCCAGGGCAACACAGTAAGACTGTCTCAAAAAAAAAAAAAAAAAAGTAGGAAGGCTCCATTTACATTAATTTAACTGCATCAGAAAAATCCTACAAGATTAAAGACAAAATTGTCAAAGGTGACTATCACT